ACTCTTTCCTACATCATAAATTCGCCTTCATCATTCTAAATTTCTATTCCATTGCAAAATTGAGAATCCAGAGATCAACAAAAACGTACTACACTCCAAAATGTGGGAAGATTGATAAACAGAAATTGGAGGTTTCTCTAACCTTCTGCAAGCGAATAGCTCGGACGGCCTCTGGACTGGAAGAGGTAGAAGATGAAGACGAGGACGAGCGGCGATTGCGAGAGACGGCGGAGGGAGTGGTGGTGGTGGCGGCGGCGGAGGAAGAAGAGCAGCAGCGGAGGATATGAGGGGAAGAAAAAGAGCGGCGGAAGGAGGAGGTGGTGGTGAAGTGAAAGAGGTGCTTCAATGGCTGCTGCAACTGCAAGCTTAGGCTTCCCCATGCCTTCACTGCTTCCATCTCTCTCTCTCTCTCTCGCTCGCTCTCTCTGCTTCTGCTCGCCTGCGGTCGGTGGTTTATCCCTTCTATCATTGTCTTCGAAGAATTCGACTTACACCCCACTATTTTGTTTAAATTATATTAGACGTTTTCTAAATCGAAACTCTTACATTGATACCCCTACAAATTTAAAATGTATATATATTGGTTCAATTTTATTGGTTACTTCATTATTTACTTAGATATTTAACAGTATAATATTGATTTAACTATTGTAATAAATTAAATAATTAACTAAAAAATTATAATAATTTATTAAATTAGGTACTTATCACGCTACGTTATTAAATTTTTATATTTGATGGTAATCATTGATGAAAACGTAACCATTAAGTGCTCGTTTGGTTGGTGTATTTAAACTCATAATTCTGATTTTGCTACATTATTTTCCTCTCATAAAAAATTTAAATCAAAAAAACTTCTACCAATGATTCTCTTACAAAATTTCTACCAATAAATCAGAATAATTAATTTGAACACATGAATTAAACGGACTCTAAAAACTCGTCCATATATATTTGGTACATATATATCTTTTTTTGTACCATGCAATTGAAATTTTTATGCAGTACTAGTTAAAAACACATGCCTAATTTAATTTTTTTTTTTTAAATTGAACATATGAACGAAAAATTCTTTTAAGAATTTGATTTAGTAAAAAAAATTATGGATACCGAAAACATGCTAACATATTTTTAGATAAATAGATTTATTATAGATATATTGCATCTATATATTATTTAATAAGACGTGTGTTACAATTTTATTTTAATATCACTATACTATCTTTAAAATTCTTTTAAGGTCATTCTTTTTTCTTGACACTTGTACAAGATTCCCTACATGATAGCCTTAAGATAATATATAGCCGTGATCCTCCATGAACACAATTATAGTCAAGTCTTTAATTGCTCATAATGTGTGATTATTACACAGTAATTTTTGAACCATCATAAAAATCCTTGACTCAAAAATTCAATAAAAGAATGATATATATATATATAGGTGCATCTATTCTTTACTTTTCACACTCCTTTTTAATATTACAATATTACCTAATAATATTTTTTTAAAATACTCATTACACACCTCACTGTTCTAAATACTCATTATTAGCCCTCTAAAAAAACATATGATTAAAAAAATACGATTTCACAAAATACATATGTAATCTGTAATATATGCAGCAGAAAACCAACGTTATATAAATATAAATATATATATATATATATTTACTTCTTCATGAGAACGTATATAAAGATACATATATATTTGCTTCTTCATGAGAATGTTCGATAACTTTGTCGTGCGGAAGCTTTGGGACTTCGTAAGGAAATTTTCGTGGATTATTGAATTGGTATTTTAACTCATTTTAAACGTGTTTAGTTCATAAATTTAGAATTATAATTTAAAATTATTTTCAATTTATATGTATTTTTTATGAGAGAAAATACTGTAACGAGTCACGAACTATGATCCGAATCATGGCACGAATTCTTGCTCTAAACGCAGTATTGCGGGAACTCGTTTTAAAATGATTTTATTTTTTATATAAAAATAGAAATAAAAAAGTTTTCAATCTCAGACAGAAATTATTTTTGAAAATACGTTTGGTAGTTTTATCAAGATATTATTTTTAATATAAAAAACTCATTAATGTATCTTTCTGCTCGAGAGAAGAGAAAACGAAAACAAAAAATGAAAAATGACTAAAAATTATTTTTCATTTCTCTCTCATTTTACACTAAACTAAAAAATCATTTTCATTTTTTTTCTTAAAAAATGTGAAAAACAAAAATAAGAATAATTTCAAACACGGCATTTACTTTTCTTAAAAACACCATATTTCATTAAATACTGATTTCATTTAACTGTTGACTTTTTTTTCTAATTGCTAATTTGGCTGATTTCATATCTATTTTGTCTTCTGATTATTTTTTTTTTCCATTTTTTCATGAGAATATATTTGTCTTTATATATGTCATACTCGATATTTTTGTAAATAAACAAAAAAAAAATCAGTATTTTTAAACAGAAAGTGCTCTATATCGCAATTTATGTAAATAACTCTTTGATTCTTACAGCTTGAGGAGATTAAAAAATGAGGAAAATAAAACTAAAAATACCATTCAAGATTATAAAAAATATTATTTTATTAATAACTGTTATTTAATTAATAAAAAGAAAATAAAAAGTATGAAATCTAATTATTTATAAATAAAGTATCTGCACAAGATTATAATAAGTCATGTACTTTTCTTTTAAAAAAAAAAAAATTATACAATACGTTCGGTCTATCACGTTACAATTGTAGAGGGTGATGTTTCAAATTGCTCTAAAATACTCAATAGCTAGACTCCCAATTTTATAATGTGTTCCATATACATTAGAATGTAATACATCTTGCCTGTGTATTAGGATAATTATGTTTTGTTTTTTGTTACGAATGTGAGTGAAAAGGAGAAGTGGAGTTGGTTTATGTAAAAGGGGAAGTAAATATTCTTTTTAACTTCATATTGTAAAACTTGAGACTAACAAAACTAAGGGCGCGTTTAGAACTCGTTCCAAAATGATTTTATTTTTTATATAAAAATGAAAATATTTTTAATCTCAAACAGAAATCATTTTTAAAAATGCGTTTAGTAGTTTCATCAAGAGATTATTTTAAGTGTAAAAAAACTCATTAATATCTCTCTGCTCGAGAGAAGAGAAAACGAACACAAAAAATAAAAAAAACGACTAAAAATTATTTTTCATTTCTCTCATTTTACACTAAATCAAAAAATCATTTTTATTTTCATTTTTCGTTTTTATTGCGCCAAATGTCATTTTTAAAACGTTTTTATTTTTTCTTTCTCAAAAAATGTGAAAAATAAAAGCGTGATCAATTCCAAACACGGTCTAAAGATTCAACCAAACGCTGGCCTCACTCTCTCTTCATCTCAATTTTCCGTTATTTACCTGCAACAAGACTCTACAAAGAGGATGCTAACAGCTAACATACACGCAGCATAACAGGAAATATACCCAAGTTAAAATTTTAAATGTACATATATAAATTTATGTATACCTAATAGTAGAATTTAGTTTTAAAATATATTTATGTGTGGAGATAACATGCATAATATATTTGTAAGTTTAATTCTTAATTATAATGTTTTTTTTTCTTTCTAATTATCTCAAAAAGCAAAATTAACTCTGCATTAACATACTCAATATTAAAATCAATCAACATTGCATGTAAATATAATTGACAAGATCATAAACTTCAATCACTGGTTTTTGTTGGGAGAAGGCACAAGAAGAAGCTACTAAAAGATGTATAATCTTGCCACTAATCCAAGATTAATCACCTTGAAACGCGTAGCAGTGCATCGGCATCGAGTTCAGGAGTTACAGGGCTTAGAGATAAATTACTGAATAAACTCTCAGCCAAGTGATACAGTGACTGGTTTCACAATCAAAATTGATGGTCGGGCAAAATGAATCAAGAATTTATAGAAAACGAAATCAGGGTTAAAAAAAAGTGATACTCCTAAACCAGAGAAACTGCAAATCTTACCGCTTAGTAATGGTGATTCTGAAGATACTGACTAAAATAATTAGAGGATAACCTCAATCACTACAAAATACAAATTTCTTGTTGTACATAATCAGAGCAGAAGTCGAAGAGGAACCTTAATCGGCGATTTTCTTTTTCTTGGATTTCCCTTGATGTGAGCGCTCAAAGGACCCTGAAGAAGTAACTGCACTACTAGCTCGCCCCGAGTTTTGAGTAGAGTGGTCGTTTGATCTACTGGGTTCAGGCACATGACTTTTGCTTGGAGCTGTTGATGGTTCTCCAACATCAGATAAAGAACTTTTATGCCGGCTACTATGCGAGGAGGCTGCTGCACGTCCACTCGCGGACCCTGAGTTTCTTCGCCGATAACTTTGTGCAGGAGATCCACGCTGGTGGGAAGACTTGGTCATTGTAATGCTAGAAGACTTCTGATACATTTGTTTCAGATTGCTGGAATGGAGCTTTTCCAGTTCGTGAGGCTCCGAATAATGTACAAGGGAAACACGTCGTGAAATCTTCCCAGCTGCCAAGATTTCAGAAGGATCAAATTATCAATGTCACCATAAGTATTCTTGGCAAAATATTACCAGTAAATTTAACAGCAACGTCTACAATGAAATCAACAATAATATTGGCACAAAAAGACACATCACGCTTTAAAACCAGGGAAACACATTGTGAAATTTTCCCAGCCGCCAAGATTTCAGAAGGACCAAATTACAAATATCAACACAAGACATTCTTTGCTAGACTTGCCAGTAAAAATAACAGCGACATTAATAATGAATTCAACAATGTTATTGGCACAAAAATAATCATTTGAGATATTACACTTAGCACACGGCTGCAAAACATTTGAGATGATAGTTGGTCACACTCACACACAAGATCTCTATCAAAAATCACATGGCATACATTCTTTTCGCCTTTAGTTTTGACAATTAAGAAAAGGATAGAATTACTTTAATGCAGAGTTAATGCTACATATCAAGCATTTACATGCATACCAATTTTTGTGCCCGATGCAGAAGATACAAACACAGTTGCATTTGGTTCTTGAGCCGCAAAACTAACCACATCATATTCTTTGCCTGCAAAAAAAAAAAATAAACATTGTCATAACCTCAGCCCACAATTATACTGAAAAAAAAAATCATAAATTTCTTATATAGATTCTTCGGAATTGGACAGTGAACAAAGATTAGAGCTTGTCCTCATTGTATCATAGCAAAATTAGCATAATTACCAGATGAACCCTTGAAGCTGCCCAAGTTCCCGTCATGGTGAAGCTTGAGTGTTAATTCCTGCCCATCAAAATCAGGATTCTGGAACACCAGAGAAAGCAACTCGTCAACAAAATACTAAATAGGTTGCAAAGCTGACATTAGCAAAGGACGAATCCAATCCTTTGTGGTGAAAAAGTCTCTCTTTCAAGCTTCTAACAAGAATAACAGATTGCAATCAAGCTAAAAACCAGACAGCTAATTCAAGATTCTAGTAGTTCAAAGAAATAATTATCAGCATGAATTTTGAAAACTAAGCTAACTACTTCAAATGAAATAGATTTTAAGCCCAACATTCTTATGTCTGTTGTAGGTTATTTGAAAATTTGCATTGGCTTCCCTTTTTTCCTTTTTTTTTTTTTTTTTTTTTTTTTGCCCCTCTCTTTCCACTGATCTAATTTGCTAGATAAATAAGTAAAAAATCGTAACAGACAACTAAAAGCAAAACCCAACAAGAGAAAAGTTCACTTCTTTCTTACTTGATTCTTAGGCCATTGAATGAGCCAAAGTTCTGTGGAATCATTTAAGCTGAGATCCACAAGTGGGTCCTTAGCATCTTCCTCAAACTCTAGAGAAGGCATGTAAGCTTCTTTTAAATGAGCAGGCATTCCTTACGATCAATCCTCTACAAACAAACAATCCCGGATTAAACATTTTTTCGAACACCTTGCGTGCAATAGGATCTACAAACAATATTTATCTGTGCTCTGCTTTCAATATGATAAGGAAAAGAATACTTATAATTTTCATAATCGTGTCCCACCAATACTTGTTCCATGTGCGACTAAACTAAGCACAACATATTCAAATAGACAACTCTTTTATATGTTGAAATTAATGGAGCCTAACCATATACATAGTATCTTAAGGAACTTGGAGAGCATAGCAGGAAGAAAATTCAGGGTTTATATGTGAAATTGATATTGCAGTCCCCACAGCGACCTGATAAGACTCCAATAAGTTTTATGTATGTGAGACGCCATAGGAAGCAAGGGGCAGAAGGTTAATTGTGGTCAGCGGCACTCGTCACTGGTTTTAATTCGCGCCTTGTTTTTGGGAATTGGTTTAAGCGTATAGCTGGGGGGGAAGAGTTTGTTGGGGAAGTTGGTTTGTAATTCGTATGGTAGGAGTATAAAAGGAAAAGAGAAAGGAGTTGTGGATTAGCGGGATTCTCTTCTTTTGCACAGAGCTTTGCTCTTTGGATTGGGAGAGTTTGCAGATCTCTCGAATATCTGCTAGTTATCTTCTTTTGTATTCGTTTCTGGTGTTGCAGTCAATATAATCCAGCTCAATTTTCCCTATACATTTCATTATTTCATGAACGAGAAAAGGAGGGAAATGGAAAATAACCTGAAACGGAGCTTCCGAAGCAAAGAAGAAGAAGAAGAAGAAGACTTCCCCAAGGCCAATCCGCCGAGAAGAAGAAGAAGAAGCAAAGAATAGGGCGGAGGAGATAGTCCAGAGAGATGACGGCGAGAATAGGGCGGAGATGAGAGAATAAGAAGAAGAAGAAGAAGAAGAAGAAGCGACGCCGCAAGAAGAATCGGCGGTGGAGCTGTCTGGAGAGACCTAGCGGCGGTGGAGCTGTCTGGGGAGACCTAGCGGCGGTGGAGGCGTGGAGCTGTCTGGAGAATAGGAGAAGGAGGTAGCGGCGGAGGGTGAAAATGAGAGAAGAAACGTAGTAGAAAAGCTGAAAAGAAAACCTAGCTGAGCAAAAAATATATATTTTATTAAGTATTAACTATTTTTTCTTAAAAAAATATATTTGTAAAATAGGTAATAAACGGATTGTAATTAGGTCATGTATTCGTGTTATTTAAATATGATATATTTAGGGATTGTTTAGTTAGGAGATTTGTACCCTGATTTGAATCATGGTTCATAATTTGTTACAGTGTTTTCTCTCACAAAAAATTCACATAAATCGAAAATAGTTCTAATCTCATGATTCTAATCTATGAACCAAACGTCTCCTTAATAAATAGATTACAGCGGGTTAATTATAAGTTAATGAGTCAATTTAAAAATGACACGTTATTTAATCGTATTTTATAAATTTAACCTGATTTTGATCCGTTAATTTCGTATAAATTTTGAATCGTATCGCAGCCTTAGTTATTTTGAAGAGGGGTTTTTTAGTCTTTTAACAATAAATGAATGAAAAAAATTTGTATAATAATTATTATAATTGTTGTAGCTTGGTTCTTATTTGTTTTTGTGTGCGGTATAGTACGCCACGTGGGAGCGGACTTTCAAATAAGAGTCCCTGAAAGGCTTACTAGTGCTACTCTTAAGGTCTCGTTTATTTTACCGATTTAAGTTTTTAGTTTTAGATTTTTATAGTAAAAAACTCTCAAAAAATATCACATCTAACTTTTTTTACTACAGTGAAAAACTCTTAAAAAATATTACATCTCAGCTCGAATTGAAAACTCAAATCTGCGAAGTGAACGAAACTTTTTTCTATTGAGGTTCATCTTATAAAGATACTTAAATTCATTTGAGTTTTTAATTTTAATTTTATTATAGTTAAAAATTCTTATACAAAATTACATTTAATTTTTTTTAATTATAATAAAAAATTTTCACATAAAATTACATATTAATTTAAATTAAAAATTTAAATATGCAAACTAAATAAGAACTTAATTGATCCTACGGTGATCTAATATCTTTTCAAAAACATGACGCGAGAATCAATACTCCCTCGTGGGAGGTCCAAAAATTGTAGAAATTGAAAGGCTTCTTACCTATGAGGCTGTGACCCATTTCCGCCGGAGGGGAAACACCCGCGATTGGATCAGTCTCTTTTCTACCACCCCTTTTCCATCTACTTGTGACAGGATAGGTTCAATAGCTGCTCAGAAACGTTTTTTTTTTTTTTTTTTTTTTTTTTTTACAAGAGGTTAATTTTTGGTGGGGGTTCAATCGGAATATATATAAGTGCAAAAACTCCACAACCTTGGCGAACGTGAGCTTCTCCACAACCTCGGCACAGCCCATGAAAAATCATGGATCAGGACGGGTTGGGCCGATCCGTCTAGACAAATGATATCTTTATGTTTTTTTTTTTCTTTTAGTAATTTTATAAACATTATATATATAATTATCTTGATTGTACTCTTTTTTTCTTATTAAAGTTTTGTCCCACTGAGTTTTTTTAAAAAAAGTTTTTATTTAATGAGTCAATCGTAAATAAAATATTCATTTTCATATTTCCATTGACTATTCACACTTTTATATTTGTTAACATGTTTAAAAATTTAAAAATTCAAAATTCAAATTAAAATGTTAAAAATTGCATGGTTAAATGGGCTAGCACATCTATTAGATGGGTCTTGAATGGACCAGCTCATTCAAGACCCATGGCACGGTTTAACTTGACCAATGTAAAATTGACACGTGGTGTGGACTGGACCGAGATAATTCTTATATGGGCCGGTCCATAAAATTCGTGGGCTGGGCAGGCCCGGCCTACGACCCGTGTGGGCCTAAGAAGAATGGGCCGGGCCGGCCCGTTCTTGTATCTCTAGATATGTTATTAATTCTTATCTGTATGTCTTACTTTTTTATTTTCCTTTCTTTTATGTTCATCTTCAACCATTTGGATAATTTTTTTGCTATCTCTATATGTATACTCTTTCTACGGTCCTTATGGTGATTGTTCCTCGAGTGTAACATGTGAAATTGTATAACATAACGATGTAGTTATTTAATGTAACTCATACATAATTTAACATAACATTTTAGTTATTTAACCTAACACAAATACTAAAAAGTTGTAACACCTATAAAATTTAACCATCCCATACTATTGCTACACTTAAATTTTAGTTATATAACATAATGCGGATGTTAGAATAGTCGGAGATAATAAAATATCTTGGCGTCACCTTTTTTCAACGTCGGTGTTATGTCAAATAAATAATATGTTGCGTGTTTCATTTTTATATGTTATGACGGGAGGACGATCCCCCTAGACAATTCTATATAATATACACACAATATAATTATGAGAGAAAAATAGATATAATTATAATGTGTATTGTTTACATAATAGAAAAAAAAAAAACAATCGACACTCAAAAAAAAGGGTACACCTAGGAGGCATTGACGTGGTCATTGTTGGGAGGGAAAAGCAGGTGTTGGGGGGTAGGGGGTTTCAGGCGTCCATTTGGTTGCCGTCTTTGGGCGCGTTTATGTGCCGATGAATCTAAGCCCTTTAGGATTTGGTTCCCTTAATACGGTGATCCCTTAAAGGGGGTTTATAGTTGGTTTGGCCATCAGAGAGGTTGTGGGGTGGGGTGGCGTAGTCATGTTTCTCTTTGTAGGTTTGGGACGCATAAGTGCTCGAGTCTCACTACATTTTTGAGTCTTTGACTTTGGCTGAGCCGCGACTCCATTGGTTGGGCATGTTCCCTTGTAGGCAGAGGATGGAGACGGCGACAGTGGCTCAACAATTCTCTAGTTTTTCTTCAAGTATCTAGCTTTGTCGTGGCTCCCTTGCTCATTCATGGTGGTAGTCGGTATGTCATCGGAGATCCTGCTAATGTCATTTAATTTTTATCCTCTTGTTTTAATTTGTGTGTTTGTCAATAAAAGATGTAGATGTTTTCACCATTTAGTTTTGGTGTTTCAATTGTGTTGTTGGTTTTCCATTGTAATAACGGAAGTGGTTTCAACACTTTTTAGTTGTCGTCTTGTTTAGTCTGCAAGTCGTTTGTTTTTGCGGTGTTATGGTAGGCTTTGGTACTTTTAGTCTCTCGATCTCAATCGATCAAAAATTTCCACTAATTAGTTGTGTGCCTCTTCAGTTTTCTCTTATTGAAACTCGACACACTTATTACCCCTAGAGCATTTCAGTCAAACGTACTAGTAGTAGTTTAATTTGTGATTATGATTGAGTTGCTAAATACGTCATGGTCTTTTGCGTCTGAATTAGTATTTGAAATTCTCTAATTTGAAATGCAATTCATTTTCAAAAAAAAATGTAATAAAGGAATTTTGTAATATGAAAGAGTGGTTTAGTTATAATTAAAAGATAAAACAATATATTATTATCATGTTTTATTTTTATAAATAAGTGGCACAATACACAATGTAAGAAAACGTAAAGGCTCTGTTCATTTCACCAATTCGAGTTTTGCAACAGTAAAAAAACTCTCATAAACAGTCACGTCTATTTTTTTTAACTATAATAAAAAATTTTCACATAAAATTATATCTCAACTTAAATTATAAACTAAAATCAGCGAACTGAAAGTATGAGAGAAAACTGGTGATCCTCACATTTTCCATAAAAAGAATTAAAACAAACAGCAACTTTAAAAAAAAAAAAAAAAAGCATTAAAACATTCATAAAGATGTAGCGCCAATGCCATCACAACACGACAAGGTAAATAATATCATCCCCCAATCCCCATCTCCATAATCAATCAATCCCACCAAACTACCAAACTTGGACTTCCAAACCAAACCAACCAAACCCCATTTACCAACCCAAGCCAACTTAAACCAAAACCAAAAATTTTCATAATCTTTCTTTCCAATTCAGTTCCGATAGAACACGAGAAAGAAAGAAAAGAAGAACAAAAAAATGGTGTTCAACAGCTTGATGGTGATGTCCGTCGCCCACGCATCAGCCGACGCCTGGCAATGCCTTGCCTGCCTTCCCGAGCGGCTCAGCAGCCATCAGCTGTTGGATCTCGTCCTCTGCTTTCCTCTTCAGCAACTGGGTCGTCTCGCTCTTTGCATATGGACTTTCCTTTGCCTTCCTCCTCCTGATACCCTTAATTCATATTCATACTCATCTGATGACTCTGACTCCTCCTCCTCCTCCTCCACCACCGTTGATTATGATGGCTACTACTACCATTCGCATTCTGATTGATTTCGCTCTTCCTTAACTTTCTAATTTGTACAGTAATTTTTCTGTCCCTCTTCTTGATTTTCTCTTTTATGCTGAATTTTTATTTGTGTTTTGTGTTTATTTAGTGGTTTGCTCAATTGGGTTTGTTTTGGATTTTGTAAATTCTTCATTATTTTGTCTTGATCTTACTAATATTGATCGAATGTTGTGCTTGTCGTTTTTGTGTTTATTTAGTGGTTGCGCTGAATTGGGTTTGTTTTAAATTTTGGTTAACTCCATCCCTTTTTCTTCTTGATCTCACTTTTATTGTTCGAATTTTGGATTTGTGCTGAATTTGGTTAGTGCTTTGTGCTTTTTGATTGATTGGCTGAATTGGTTGATTTGGATTGTCTCCATCTTTGTCTGGTTTCGGATTTGATTGGCGAAAGTGGTTGGTTTTCCTTGATTGGTTGGATTCGTTTCACGTCCTTTTATTTTTATCTTTTATTTTTTTTTTTTGGGTTCATTTTGTTCATAATTAACCCATTGGGCAAATAGCAAGTTTGATTCTAGGTATCCCTGATAATAACCGATGGCTTGGCTGTGATTAAATCGCATGAAGCTACATAAGTTTTTTTTTTTTTTTTTTAAATTTTTTCTGCTGACTTTGAGAATATGATTCGAAGGTGTAAAGTGGATATGTGGTGACAACTTGTGCATCCTCCACATGATTTATCGACTAAACTTCATGTCAAGCTACAAAGAAACTAAGATCAAGCTATTATTTGCGACTTTAATATGGATTCACTGGAAACTTCTCTCTTACTCTATTTTACTTTTTCTCTTATTGATGTGAGATGCCAAAACTTATCATGATCGTCATAATAGTGTTTGGCAGAAAGAGGAGAGAAATATTTGATCATCATCTTAGTTTCATTGGCTTAATTGAGTTTACAAGAAAACATTACTTTAATGTTATTTTACGTAGTTTACAACTCATGTTAGGAAATGTTTGAATTAGGCTGAAATATCTAATTTTGATGCTGATCAACTCTATAGTCAAATGAATGTTTTGTAACCACTTTCAATCTCGTGCCAGAGTTTCTCTGTGCACCCTCACCTGCAAGAAACGTAATCCACAATTTACATACCCTCTCATTTCTATTGGTTTTAGAATTACCAGTGTCTTGTTGGGAGAAGGCGTAGGGAAAGGTTGGTACATTGATTGCCTCAAAAACTGTCACTGTGTTGACTTCTTCAGGCATTGGCATGGAGTCTGGAGTTGCTGGGTTTGAGATAGATTGCATCTCGCTTGGCGTAGTTACACGCTGCTTGGAAGCGAACTAGACGCCATAATCGCAGTGCAGCGTTAGGCTTTTTTGCTTGTTAGACTAAGCGTTATTGCTTGGTTGCGTACGTGGACAACTTCTTTTGGAGTAAGATTTTAGTTGAGATCCCACTTCTATGCGTGCTTTTCCTTCTTTGTGTGCAAGCTTTAAATTACTCAGAACATTCTTCGAATTGATTGCTCTATTTCTAGGATTTTTTTTCGTCTCTAGGACAGTTAATTTTAATCCATGTCTTATTGACAAACTGCATTGTACGGAAGCTGATAAAATTAATCTAGACAAACTCTGCCTTGTGTATTTTGCTTGAGATGTACTGTATTCTACATGTTTTTTTTTTTTTTATTAATTTCTTTTATGATGTTACCTGGGTTATTCATAGACTGATAAGCTTACTAGGTTCAGATCTATGATCTGGGTTTTGGTGTACCATGTAAAATCTAACTTCATCAAGATCACATACGAAAGAGGTGATAACTAGAATACCTGATTTAACGACTCAGATGATGGTAAAACGGGGAAACAAATCAAGTGAAGATTACAGAAACTGAAAATTCATCATCTTTTATTATAAGAGAAATAAAGCTACTTGGAATTGGTATTTATTCATTTCATGGAATTAGAGAAACTTAATGTAGATAGTCCTTTTCATCTTTCATGGTTGAAATCCTACTTTGAATCAGATCGAAGATCCCATAAATGGGAAATATGATCTCAATTACTTGTGCTAAGAACAGAAGAGTTTTGTTGCAACGTCTGAGACATTCAGTATAGAGAGAAATAACATCTGTTTTACCCTTCATTTCATTTTGATTGCTATTGCAAGACAAGAAGACTATACACCATTTGAAATTGAATAGAATAAAGTTGCGTTATTTGAACTTTTTGAGTTTGATGGCCTCTTTTTAGGAAAAAAAAAAAAAAAAAAAGGTTTATCTCTTTAAGATTTCTTTTTCCCTACTATAGGCAAATGCTCATGAAATCAAGTTGAAAAATAAAAAGTTGGTTCTTTGAATTTGATGGTTTGTTTATGTATATATTGCTTACGTTGGTATTTCTTATTTTTATATTTTATTATTGTTGGGGCTCTTTTGGATTTTTCGGGCATCAACAATTATTTTTCTAGGACTTGCAGAAAAGGAGTTAGATCCTTGGTCACTTGGGCCACTTTTAATAGCCAAATAGGACAAAGCCAGATCGAATTCTTAGGGATGCAGGTCTCCCAAGAAAAGTTCTAACTTGGCCTACACATTGTTCAAGAATTATTGACGTTTCTAGATAAGAACCTTTTTGTAAAGCAGATTCAACAGTTTTTAGGAATAGTCAATTATCTCAGAGACACAAAGCAAACAATTTACACATCTTGTTTTGGAAATCAAGTAGCTTGCTTAGTGGCCTTCATGAGTCATTATTGGTCCAACTCATTTTGTCACAACATGTTAGTGTTTGGTACCATCAAGAATTTCACATATCCTGGTTACCACTGTAGTCTAATCATGGGCATTTTATGTGGTTGTGTCCATGTCCATATCATATGTGCACGGAATATCTGCATAAGCGCAGGTTAGATAACTTATCTCTGTGAGCTTACTTGTGTTTTGTGGGGGCTTATGTTATGTTTACTAACCCCACGCCGTCAACTCTGGTTACTTTCAAATGGATGGGCCCATCCGGCAGGTTCAACCAAGGTCATCTTGGCCGAAATTTCAGAATTTTTTGAGGTATCAAAACTTGTTTTTACTAAAAAAAAATATCGATTTCGGCAAAATATTAGAAAAATATTGTAAATATCGGTATGAATATCGATATGAGTAAGCATATAAATGTAATTTGAGCAAAATTTCGGGAAATTTCGAGACCCAAAAATTTCAGTTCAAAGAAATTTTGGTGGTTTAATGTTTTTCTATTTTCCGTTTAAATATCATATCTACCAAAACGATCTTTGTCCTCTAGTAATAGACTTCGCAATGCATTTTGATGTCTCCACATGGTCCTAAAGCAAAGTGATTTGTCTAGAAGGGCGGGGTAATCTGGCCAAGATGGTAGCATATTATGGCCTCGTTCATTTTATCGATTCGAGTTTTCAGTTTTAAGTTTCTATAGTAAAAAGCTTTCGAAAAATGTCACATCTAATTTTTTCTGCTACAGTGAAAAGCTCTCTGAAAATGTCACATCTCAGCTTGAATTGAAAATTCGAATCCGCGAAGTGAACGAGGCTTTAACTTTATAAACCATTTCACGTCCAATGTTCACAGTTCAAGGGCCCATTTAATTCGTTGATTCGAGTTGGGATATGATTTTTTGTAATAACTTTTTACTGTAACAAAAAAAATTATATGTGACTGTTTTTAAAAGTTTTTTTACTGTCATAAAACTCGAATCGGTGAAATTAATGAGACCAATGATAAAAGTTCCTAATACGAATGATATGGTCACGGTCAATATATAAAAAAAGTTTAATTTCCCTCTCTTTTTTCTTAACAAATAATTAGAGAATTCGTAACATGAAAATTAAATTGGATTACCACTTTTAAGGACTAGTTATACACCCGTGCAACTTTTATGTGTATGTTATGCTTAAATCTTTCCATTTGATTGGTGTATTCAAATATAAGCTTTTGAAAAGTGGAATTCCTTTGATTCACCCGTCTAATAACAAGTACAAAATGCGATGATAAAAGTCCGTGCAACCTGCAAACTAGGCTGTTGCTACTATAGGGCCCGTTCACTTTACTAATTTGAGTTTGTAATTTGAGTTGAGATATGATTTTGTATGAGAGCTTTTTACTGTAGTAAAAAAGATAAATGTGACAATTTATAAGAGTTTTTTACTGTAACAAAACTCAAATTCTAAACTCGAATCGACGAAATAAACGGGGCCCACATTTACGCCTAAATTAGACTTTCAATTTTTTACAAAAGAGATTAATTGGAGTGTTAATCCGAGTACTCTCTTAAAACAGAGATTCTTCTTCCTCTGATTCACCGCGTAAGTTACATAATTGATAATTTAAGATTGAAAAATCTTGACAAATACTGATTACTCTTAATTAGGTTTTTTTAAATAAATAATCATATTAATTTTTTTTAAAAAAATAACTATATTAATAAAAAAATATTAATAAAAATTAAAAAGTCATTTAGACTCACGTTCTTTTAATAATAAATACATCAATATTCTCTTAGAAAATCATCTGCCTTTCCTGATAGGCCCAACTTTCAGCATGGTTTTGTTTTTAACAAACAGCGAATTTGCTTTTACTTTTTTTTTTTGCTTGAAAAGCACATTGATTTTGGTTTACTTATTAGCCAATCACTCCTGAAAGAGACACGTGGCGAGATATGATTGAGCAGAAGCTCAGAGCCACGAGCCACGTACATCTAATCCGAACCCCTTGTTTGAGTTTGGACTTTTAAGACATCTTTTACACTTCTTCACTAATGGCCACGCTTTGTTCCAACGTTTTAGTACTTCACAAAGATCTTCTCTTCCTCCTCTGAATTTCCACCGAACAAATCACCATGTCTTTAGCTCCGACTCCGAGCAGTAATTTGTCTCTCTACTGTTCACCACCATTAGCAAAAACAGTCCCAACATTAAGACGGTACAATATTTTCGCAACATCATCTAGTTTCTTCCACATCAACAAGTCTTTCTCATTCAAGAGCAACGATTCATTTCTAAGGAATTCAAGATTTTTTTCGAATACCCGATTGGAGAAACCGTCGGTTTTGATAGCGAGGGCGTCGGAAACGGATGCCCAGACGGCGGAAAGCAAAGGCGGAGAAGGAGGAGGAGGAGAGGAGCAGTATGAAGAGTATGAGGTGGAAATAGAGCAGCCTTATGGCCTGAAATTTGCCAAGGGAAGAGATGGCGGGACTTATATTGATGCCATTGCGCCGGGGGGCTCGGCTGACGAGACTGGCAAGTTCACTGTTGGGGATAGAGTGCTTGCCACCAGGTTTTTGGTTTTTTCCCATTTAGCTTCTTGTATTACATTTTCAATTTATGCGATGAGTTTCATGTGTTTGTTTTAGCTGTATCAAAGTGTGTTAGAATGATGGCAATTTAACGACATGGAGTAATTCCTAAATGAGCATGGTTTATAGGTTTCAATTTTTTTGCCTCTTTCTAAATGTGATTTTATTGGTATTTCTCACATTGTAGATTCTACTTAAAAAAAAAAAAAAAAAGGGAATTGTGGAATGAACGCTTCTTGTATAATGCTAGCTGTGGCAATGTACAGAAATTTGTGTGCTTTTCAGGCTCATCTCTGATCTCCTTTTACTTATATGTGGAGCATTTTTGCATGGAAGTATTGCGTAAATGTAAATGGCTTAGGGGTTTCAAGTCTTCTTTTTCATGTGATTTGATTTATTAGTAACTCAACATTACCTTTAACTATTGCCAATGGATTCATGTGACCGAAGATGCTGATTTACGTGCAGCGCTGTTTTTGGGGACGAAATATGGCCTGCAGCTGAATATGGGCGGACAATGTACACCATGCGTCAGAGAATTGGCCCTCTACTCATGAAAATGCAGAAGAGATACGGTTAGTTCATCTCCTATTTGCTTACTAAGTACAAATGTAGAATAATGCTTGAGAACAACATTGAAACATCTATACCATATTTATTGCTTCTGTGAATAATGTAGCTAAATAATTATTTATTGCGGAAATAATTGTTTCGTTTTTTGTAATTCTTTCTCACTCCTCGCTGTAAATAGCATAATACTTGTTGTGAAGAACTCTCACAGCATGCATCGAAGAACTTTGCATAATATAAAGCTTTCCATGTTCCCAGTTCACAATTTTGTTGACTCTTTAAACATGATGTGAAACTGATTTAATACGAGTAGTATTCGTGACGCAGGGAAGAAAGATGATGGGGGCGAATTGACAGAGAAGGAGATTATCAGAGCTGAAAGAAATGCAGGCTTTATTAGCAATAGAGTGAGAGAAATCCAAGTGAGTAGAAACACTTACAATTTTGATTTTTGATTTTTATAAATCACTGTTGTTCCACCCTGTGAGTACATGTTTAGAAATTTTTAGTATTGACGACACGTGAATGATTTTAGATGCAAAACTACCTGCGGAAAAAGGAACAGAAAGAACAGAGAGAAAAGGATCTTAGAGAAGGGTTGCAGCTTTACAAGTATGCCCTGCAATTCAACGTTTTCCTTCACTAATCTCTCAAATACATCTGGCTAATAAAAGTTTCCTTTGTTCTTTATCAAACACATTTGGTTCGTCAAGGAATGCCAAGTACGAGGAAGCCTTGGAGAAATTTGAGTCTGTATTGGGATCCAGACCAGATCTAAACGAATCTTCTGTAGCGAGCTACAACGTCGCTTGCTGTTATTCTAAACTTAATCAGGTATACTTCTCATTCTTTTGTAAACCTACTCTTTTCTCTTAAATATTTGGATCATAGTTTTTTAACCTCTTATGAAGAGAGATATCGTTATTATAATCAATTTACCATACATTTTGTTATTTTTCAAGGTTTTAGCACGAAAACTTCTCAAGTGCAGTATTTTTAGAGTTGTATGCTAAATGACCAGTAACATCAATGTGTGGCTGAACCTTTAAAGAACCTGGCCAAAAACCAAATTTCGTCTTTTGATGTTTTGCTTTGTCCTTAGTTGATGGAAAATGAACATTATTGTTGGCTCACCTTCTGTCACTTTTAAGTTTTTGGGGGTATTGATATGTAATATGGTATCAGAGTAAGTAGTCTTAATTTATGCTTCTTGTTGTGCGCACCTTTGTTTGGATTGTTCTCCCACATTTTGAAATTTACGTGTCTTGTTGTGCATTTGGTTGATCGTCTCACGCTAAAATTATCTAGGCCCTCACGTGAAGAGAGAGCATTGATTAGAAAAAAAGAAAAAGCTGCTCTACCTCTTATTAGCTTAAGTTTTTGAAAGAATTTAGATCTTAACTAACTGATATCCTTTAGTGTGATACGGTGACGACACTAAATGGTCGTTTGTTTCGCGGGTTTGAATTGTAGTTCAAACATTTTTACTACAGTGCTTTATCTGACGATCTTTATTTTTTGATTCTCTTCCACTTATAGATTACGATTTTATTATTTGCTCTTTGATGCTATTAATTGTACTCAATTCCCTTACTTTCTCTATTCTTCATAATAGTTACAAGCTGGAATCTCTGCTCTTGAGGATGCCCTGAAAGCTGGATTTGAAGACTTTAAGGTAATGAATCCATATGTACTAAAATACACCCTATTTTTGTTTGTTAAGTTTTTCCCCCCTTTGAAAATTATTACCACTTGTCAACAGAGAATTCGAACAGATCCTGACCTCGCGAATCTAAGAACATCTGAGGAATTTGAGCCTCTACTAAAACGATTTGACGAGTCATTCATCAATGAGAATGCAATCAATGCAATCAAGTCTCTATTCGGATTCAACAAGAAGTAGGAGCAATATGAAATTCACTTCACACATGCATAAGGGACTGGAGTTGGTTTGCATATATATCATCTCACTTAAAGCTGACAAAAAAAGGGTTGGCTGAGCCATCCAGTTTTCACCTGTATCAATTTGTTGATGGTCTTACCTATGGGAGAGTTTTGGTGAAATCTTATAAATGTAATGTAATATTCAAAGTATAAGTTTTTTTTTTTGAAATTTTTAAAATTTAATTTAATATTAATTTTTAAATTTTTTTTTTTTTTTTTTTTTTTTTTTTTTTTTTTTTTTTCCTTTAACAAGAGTATTTCAATTATAATTTTTTTTCTCCAACTAGTCTTCGAAAGGAATATAATATTCTGCTGACATATCAATATATGAACTTAACTTTATGGTAAAATACAACCCATGTATTTCAAGACTCTTACCTTATAAAAGGTCGTGTCGTGTACAAACTTAGACTTATTTTCTCTTACAAAATTTTTTCTATTCTTTGGTTCAAGCCTATAAAGACCAAAAGGGCACCGGGACTTTTTAGTTACAACTTCTAATCCTCTCAAAATCCAGAAATATGACTTGAGTTCAACCCGTGTGTCCACGACATTTAATGTAAAACCTTAGCGTAAATGATCGAGAAAAGGTATTACTCAAAAACTTCACCATCTTAAGCAGGACATCACCAGCTTGTTACCAACAACCATAGCTCCATCAGTGTTTAAAATAGCATTAGAAATTTGAGACTTTCTCTGGTAGGGTCTTCTTATCTATAGATTTCTAATTGTTAAATTTAGTCAAAATTACATTTAATTGAAAAAGTAAAGTATTGATGCAGGGGATTTCTATCCTTTTTATTACTTAGTGTGTGTTGTAAGAAGCTTTTTATAAGCAGTGTCGTTTGTTTAGCTTATCTGTCGTTCGCCTCATGGTTTCTGGGTTAGTAGTGTTGTCGTTTGGTTGTAAATTCCCTACCCTAGTCTTGAGTTTGGCTTAGTCCCTGATGGGAGGAGCCTCGCAAGTATAAGGGCTGGTTTTGTAGGCTGTTTCAGCGGCTTGAACTTTGATGAATGGAATTGAGCTTAGTGCAGAAACTCAAAAAAAAAAAAAAAATGCCGTTAATGCCAACACACAGGTGGAGCACTATTTGAACATGTGAGTGAGCTGTACAGCGATGGTGATTTTATTTTTTGTTTTTCTTCTCAGTCCCGTTTAATTCGTTGATTCGAGTTTTTAATTTGAGTTAAGATGTGATTTTATGTGAGAACTTTTTACTGTAATAAAAAAATTAAATATAACTATTTCTAAAAATTTTTTACTGTAACAAAACTCAAATTTTAAATTTAAATCGGTAAAATAAAATAGAGCCTTAATTTTTGGTTAAAGTCTATTCAATGCTTTAGCTGAAAAATAAAATTTATTCACCAAAAAAAAAGATATTCATGTACGCTTGAAGTACGTGTAAGTCAAATTTTTTTAATTATTAAATTTATATATTTTTTTTATTTTTACACATTTTTATATAAATTTAACCAATAAAAAATTTAATTTATCAGTAAATTAATATACGAAAAAATAAAAAAATAAAATTTAAGAAAAAAAATAAAATTTAAGGGAAAAAAAAACGACAGGGAGGTAGTCAATAGTCAAATCACTTTCTCCTCTCTTTTGCTTTACACTTCACTCTCATTCATTAGAGACTAGCAATAAAGCAACGAATCTGAAAAAGCACTGCGCACTACCTGGCTGTAAAATTACTGTAAAATTTAATCAAGAAAAGTGTAATTTATTGCTCAACAAGAGATTTAGGCCTGGATGGTTGCTCTACTTTACTCGAGAAAGGCTCCCTCCGGAGTAAATTTTATTCAAGTTTACGTTTGACATGTGAGAACTCGAACGACATTTAAATTCAAACTCAAAAATTAATTTGAGTTATTCTGTCGTATTTGAGTTTACCATCCCATTGCAACTTGAGTAATTTCTCTGTATTAACTTTTTCTAGTTTGTTTGGTTGCCGAGAAAAATGAAGAAAGAGAAATCGATGAATTTTTTAGACAGTTGTTCTAACTCTCCCGAATCCTCCACCGAAAAATCCATCTCTATATAAAGAAATCAAACAAAAAAGAAGCTCAATCATCTATTAAAAAACACACACTATAAACAATTTCAACAAGCCCAAATAAGATTTATACAATATCAAATACCAACCAAACAAAATCTTAAACAATACCGAACAATGTCCACAACACTGTAAACAAAATCTTAAACAACTCTATCAGGAGGTGCTGTGGATCTAGATCGCGGAAGAGCTGGGCGGGTCACGATGAGGGGGATAGGTCGCGAGTCGCAACGGGGCTTGGACACGATTGGGGGTGAATGGTCCAGGCTAGGTCCTGACGGGTAGATCGCGACGAGGCTGGGTCACCGGAGAGAGAGAATGTCGAAAATGAAAGAGGAGAGAGAGTGTGTCGAAAATGAAAGAGGAGAGAGAGAGGGACTGTTCGGATAAAAACTTAAAAAAAGATCATTTGAATTATAATTTTATTTAAGTTTATATGTTTTTTTAAGTTTGAATTCGAGTTTAAACTTGAGTTTGAGATTAAAACTCCAGTTTAAGTTTCTCCTTCAACTCGAGTTCAGAAACTCAAATTCAAATTAATGAAGTATTTTTTATATTCTTAAAAATGTTATAAATTTTTCGTTTTAATTCTAATTGAGATGATTTTTTTTCCTATGCGTTGACAACGAAAAGACGAATAAAACCCCACCCATATACCCTATTAAAATTTTTCATTACTATTGAGTTTTTATTAAAATACTATCTAAATACAAATTCAAGTTTTGATTCACTCAAACACAAACTCAAAAAGATTCTTATCTCAAACTATAACTCAAATGTACACAACTAAACACAAACTCAAGTTACAACTTTAACTCAAGTTATAACTCAAACTTAACTCAAGATTTTCACTCAAAATACCTAACTCAAAAATGCAAAAGAACAACCCATTAGTAGACCTTTAGTTTATGAGTTTAGAATTATAATTTAAAATTATTTTCAATTTATGTGTATTTTTTATGAGAAAAAATACTATAATAAGTTATGAATTATGATCTGAATCATGACACGGACCCTTACTCTAAATGGAGCATTATTTATTTTTGGTTCTTGAACGAAGTGGGAGACTTTCTTTATGTAATAATTGTTGTCAAATGGACCAAGTTGAAGAGAAGGTTTTTCGGCCCGGTTCATTTTACCGATTAGAGTTTAGAATTTGAGTTTTGTTACAGTAAAAAGCTCTCAGAAACAGTCACATTTAACTTTTTTGCTACAGTAAAAAACTCTTAAGTCACATATCAACTCGAATTAAAAACTTGAATTAGCAAACTAAACGGACCATCTAACAGGTAATAAAGATATTTTTTTCTTTTGTGTTTCCGCTTTAATTTGTTTTCTAATGCAGTCCCTTGCTCTTATTGTCATAGCTTCGTGAATATTGACCGAGTTCATTAACCAACATTCAATATTCAGGTTAAAGATGCAGATCTAGTGGCTGTGAATGCTCCGTCAAGTTTCGAGTGTGCAAATTCTTGAAAAGAGCTAGTCAATGCTTGCGATTTTTCTTTACTTGGCTTCAATGTTTTTTACTTTTCAGTCGTACTTGGAGTTTGAGTTTGTAAGCTATGCTTTGCGAAGATGTTAATTTTTATAGTTTCAGCATTATATTTCCTTTTATATGCGTAGGAAGAACTTGCTTGAGTCTCCTCTATTTATTACGATTTCATTTCTGGCCTGCTATTCTTATTTTATTAGGTTGCACCTTGTGAAACCCTTTTGCATGCTATGATATTTTAGAGTTCTTGCAAACTTTATGTGAATCATCCATGTCTTAAAAACAGTATTGGGAAGCTTTTGCAAACTTTGTGTGAATCATCCATGTCTTAAAAACATTATTGGGAAGCTTTTTCCTTTTTGTGGACCTACAGGAAAGTTTTTTTCCCCATGTTGTCCTTTATATCCTTGGGACGTAGTAACAATAATGCAACAAAGATGGAATATGTATATGTAATGTGTGTGTGTGTGTGTGTCTATACATATATATATATATATATGTATGTATGTATATGTATGTATAAACAATTGAATGCAAAGGGAGAGGAGATGGAAGCAGAATTTCCCTATAGTAGCTTGGTTGTTGATATAAACGTGTGAGCTTAGTTTTGCTTCAAAGATGACTGTTCTACAGTGTAAACGTGCTTCTTGGTTATGTGTCATTGTATATATACATGTGCGTACTAAAATGGTAAACAGAGTTAAGCTAATTATATATAATCTGCTATCTACATCCGCATGAATGCAGTTCTTCCTGCTTTTCCTTTGTTTTTGCTTGTAAAAAAAAAAAAATTATTATTTTGTTGTTGAACAAACATATGTTTGGCTTTTTACAAACTTGCTTGTCAATAGTATTTTTGGCTCTGAATTTTATTGTCTAAAGTTTTAGAAAAATCGAATTTTAAACAAAATTTACAAGAATTTTGTCATATATTTTCTCTCTAATATTCTTAAAAAAAAAAAGCCCTCTTCTGGTTCTCTTCGAGTCGTGCAAGTTTTTTTGTTTTTTGTTTTTGTTTTGTTTTTTTGTTTTTTGTTCCAAATGAAAAAGCTCAAAACCCTTATATTCACACCCTAAATTCTATGAAATTCAACTTTGTTATAGTCTAATTTTTGGTCTTTTGCAAATCAGTTTTGGCACCTCAGAGTTTCACTTGGAGATCAATCTGTCATTCTCGATTTTTTGATCAATCATTTTAAGATATTTGATTAACAGAAACTCTACAAACAACACATTGGTAATGTTTACCCAGTTGGCAGTTGCAATTTGTTATTATATATATATAGACTCTAGAATGCAATTGCAGGACATTATGTATATTTTCTAATCAGCTAAGAGGCGAAACATCTTGGTGTAGAAAGTTATCAAATCACGTATATTTTCAGTAATCTTAATGTATATTTCCCAATCAGGTACATTTCAGGAAAATCATGCAACTTTTCAATTTTCATGTATATTACATGTTAAAATATTAGTTAAATGATATATTGTTACTGCAACAATTTTATTATTATTTTTTTATTATTATTATTTTTTTACTATAGACTTGTTAGGTTCATATAAATTTTTAGCAAACCCCGCTAATCATAAGCCTA